CCAGAGAACATTTGACAATGTCTAGAGACATTTTTGATGGCCACAACTGGAGCAGTGCCACTGATATCCAGTTGGTGGAAGCCAGGGATGTTGCTAAATAACCTGAAATGCACAGGACAGCCCCCACCACAAAGAAATACCTGACCCAAAATATCAGTAGTGCTGAGACTGAGAGACCCTTATTTAGGGTGAAACAAAGCAGGCTGTGCTGGGTCTGTGTTTTCCTGTCTTTGGCATAAGATCTTATCCTTGTTTTTTTTTGACTTAAAGGGTAAAGAGACTTTGTAGTCAAGTGAGTAAATTATCTATTTGTAAAGTAGTAAATTATCTGTTTGTTCCTTTTCTTTTATCTAACTACAATAGTGAGCTCCTCCTTAGTCTGATGCCATTTATTCTTTAATATTAAGGTGATGCCATTGTCTTTGTGGCTGTTCTATCAAGAGACTGGGCCAAGAGCATTGCATTACCAGTCCACAGTCTTAGTTTGTACATTCTTCACTGGTTGGCTTAGTAGAGCCTTAAGCTTGTTCTCTAATTTAAATCCTAGTGTATTTACATATCTTGCTAACCTGTTGCTAAATATCTAGATAATGTAGATTCATCTAACCATAATGTGCAGGCCCATTTAATGTTGACTTTCTGATCACTGGTATTTTACTATAAAAATGATTGCTAATTTTTTTGTTTAAATTAGCATTTCTTATTTTTATTTCTAATCTTTATGATTCTTTGATCCACCAAATTGTGTTAATAATATAAACAATAGAAAGTTCCTTACCTTCAACCACTATTATTTCTCATTCTGATCCCTTTCTGACTTTTTATTTGGCCAGAGCAGAATTTTGGGAAGGTCACAACCACCTGTAACCCATTAACATGAATAGCTACATACAGAAACTTACAGGAAGTAGAACTGGCAGTTTCAGTGATTTCCCTTTTTCTCCTTTGTGGGAACAATTCTTTCTAGTTGTCTTGCAATTTTAACTGCTTTTATGTTGGGACATTTATCAGTCTATAACAGCAATTTTCAGCCTTTTTCATTTCATGGCTCACATAAACTATTCACTAAAATTCTTTGGCACACCAAAAAATACAGTTTTTGTCAATGTGACAAAAAATAGGTATAATTTTAATTCGTTCACACCATACAATTGTTGTTGTGTTTGCTGTTGTCATTTTTTTATTTGACAATCTAAGGGAAAAGAGGTCAGTGTCTCTGACTAAATAGGTATTGCGTGTTTTAAAAATTCTTGAGGCATACTAATGTGCCTGCCACAGCATACCAGTTGAAAACACTGATTTTTAGTGCTTACAGGCCCTGAACATGATAGATACTATTTTTCTTTTAGGAACATTGTAGTAGTAGTAATTAGAGAATCTGTGATCTTTCTTCATTTTAAAAGAGACTTAATGGGACCTGATTGAAAGCCTCACTTAGCTGCTTTTGCAACAGGTTCTCTGGCTTCCGGGTAGCACTTCTTGATTGTCAGGAAGTGCTTGCTGTTAAGGTCCAGGCTGATTCATCTTTGGACTTTGTAATAAACATCAAGATGCTGAGTTGTTTTACACATCTTGTGTTTTTACAGGGGTAGGTTAGTATCATGCACAGTGCTTTAAAAGATGGGAAATTACTTACTTTGCTTATGCAACCTTGTATGAGGCCTAGGTAGAATCCTGAATTTTGGTAATTGAAGAATGAGTCTCACACCATATATTAAGGTAAAAGAATGAGTGAAATTACTTTGAAAAGAAGTCAGATATCTGGAATAAATAGAAGGTTCTGAAGAGCTTACATACTTAATTTAATTATGCTGATTCTTCTCTCAGTGGGAAAAATGAAATTAAGTCATCCTTATTTGATCAGTTTACTAGTGTTTTGAATGGAGCTTTAGAAAGCAATGGTTTAGTAATGGTTTTGTGTGGCTTGTCAAGAAGCTAGAAAGTTAGCACGTTAAAAATTTGGGTTATTTGGTTAGCTATGCTTGGGAGAATGTGAATGATGTGAATCTGAGATAGAATTGAGCTCTTTGAAGTGATTCCAATTGATATTGTGTGATATTCTAAATAGAGAATGCATTAGAACTTCCAGGATTTATAATGTAATTTTTATATATCTTAATTTTTTTCTATTTTAATATCAATTAATTCTTTATGTTGATATTTGAATATCAGTATTAAAATGTTTTTAAATATATTATGAAAGAGTAACTGCTACAACTGATACTGTACAATGGAAGCAGCTTTAATGTTACTTGCTCTTCACAAATAAACGGCCAGCAGAGGGAGCTCAAGAACTTTTTTTTTCTTTTTTTGTGTTAAGGAGCTGCATCAAGAAAATGTTTTTGGTATTCATGTATTCATTTATACAAAACATATATTGATTATATACTTAGTACAAAGTGTGAGAAAAGGCCAAGAAGTGTATACTTATACATGTAATTGGGTTTAAGTTGTGGGATAGGTAGAATTTAAAATTCTTTTTTTGCACACAGTATCACTTAACAGTCAACTGCAGGAATAGCTTAGGTATCAGTAGCACAAGAGCCCTCACAGCACTTTTGACATTATTATTCTTCCCTTCCTGTCCTTATCATGGATGCTCCCACTCGCATCACTTCTGGTGATTTCCACAAGCTTGGACTTTCTCCACCTGAGAATTCCCTACCAACAGTTTTACAAAAATAGAGTCTTAAAGTTGCATCAGGCCAACCTGTTGGGTAGGCAGACCAGCTGGTGATGGCAGGCTCTTCATATGTCTGTTGTGTGTGGACCAGTAGAGACATTGTAATTTGGAAACCATGGTGCTGCGGCTGTATCTCATCCCACCAGGTGACGATGTTCTTTATCTTTATAAAGATGCTGCCAGTGTTGGCCGAGCTCTTACTTGTCTGCTCATAGCCCAGAAACTATTAGCATGAAATTTAAGTGACTAACACCCACTCTTCTCATTACTCATAAAAAATGGCACCACTTATTTTTTAGAGCACTACTAAGCTCTTGGACTCCCTCTACTGATACTGGATGAACAAGTAGGTTCATTAAGAACTAAAACTCTTTCCAGAAGATTTCAAAGTCTTGCCTAATTACAAAAAACAGTGCAAGAGGAGAGCTGGAGGGGGCTGATCTGGCTTCTATTGCGTAGAGCCTGGAAGTCAACCTGTGAAAAGTCCATACTTGGGGATGTGTGGATAGATCACAAATATGTACGCAGATCTTGTGTTTCTCTATAGGAAAATGAACAGCTATTCAAGAAAAGAGCAAAGACATCCTGGAACGACAAGGCTTTAATGAGTTTGTGTGCTCTTGTACTTGGCTTTCCTTTGATTATACCCTCAGTTCAGCTTCCTGTCAGTGTCTGAACTTAGACTGTGGCCCAGTACTCTGAATTATAAGTAAAGGATCTTGCAACTTATATCGGTGTATTTTAAATGGGATTTTTATTTGGAAAGTGTAAATAAGGAAGCAATCTGTTGAAATCCTTTCTCTCATATTTAGAATTTTCCTACATAGAACTTATTGATTAGGGTGAACCAGAACATGGGTTAGTGACTCAGATTAAAGGATTATACAGAGGGGGTGGCACATTGACAGTGAGTCTTATTTCAGGTAAGGAATTTGGTGATACTACCAGGTAAGATGATACAGGGTAAGTTTTGATCCATTGCTTCTTTAGAAGTAAAACTTTACTAATTAAGCTTTCAGAAAATATGACGTTATAGTTACATGGATGTAAAGTTTCATGACTATGGAAGTGAGTATGGAATCTAGTCAAGGATGTAATAGTGAGGTTCACATGCAAGACCATGTGGTGAGTTCTGTAGGGGCTATTCCCAAGCAGTATGGGAGAGAAGGAGGAGGGAACAGAGGTGCCAAGTTAGCAAGGAGAAGTAAGCAGCAGGAGGGAGAGAGCAGCACGTACTAAGTAGACTAGGGTTCCTGGAAACTAAAGTAAATAAGAGCTCTTTGTGCAAGGTCTAGTCTGTGGGGTGAGATCAAGGAGAGCCCTGGATCCACTGTGAGGAGCATGGGCCTGACTATACAGTGATGGAGGGCCTTGACAGGAGAGGAGTGGTACAGTCACATCTTAGTTTTAAAGGGACCTCTTTAGGACCACATAGAGGACCATATGAGAGTGGCAACAAAAGGGAGACTGTGACCAGTTAGGAGAATATTATAATAACCTAGGCAAAAAATAAGGCCAAGCCAAAATTATAGTTCTAGAGAGAGAAGGTACTGTGATCTTCGAGTGCCTTGCGTTGTGTTTGTAGATTAAAATGAACCATAGAGTTTGGAAATGAACTAGAAGGGCACTCATTCTCTAGGGCAATATAGTTTGTAATACTGCTAGATAAGATTATCCAGTGGTTAGTGCTCATCTGTGTTTTTCTGGGGTTTTGGGTGTTTTGTTTTGTTTTGTTGGTCAATATATGTATTGCTTTTCTGAAAAGACCTGTGAATCATTTTTATACTTCATTGATTACTTCAACATTGCATTTGGTGGTATAAGTGATTAAAATTATAATTTTTTATTTTGGAAAGTTGTACATTTATTCATTAAAAGGAACAGAGTTGAAATCCCCATGTTTCCTTTTATCTTCTTTTAAGAGTGTGTGTGTATGTGCGTGTGCACTGATTTCTGTGCCCTTCAAATGTAAATGACCTATTCCTTGTATCTTCTGGGTCTCCCTTTCCTGGGCATGCCTGTCCCTGAATTCCAAATAACTTTTTTAATACTCAACCATTTCTGTGGTTTTTTCTATCCTTCTCTTCATTTAGATTACAAAACAAAATGCTTTTTAGAACTTTAAAGTAAATAGTATATTAGTGTTAACAAGTGTAGGAAACTTTCTAATGTAAATGCAGATTATCTTCCTGCACAATTTTTGTGGGGGAAAAACTATACCTAAAACTACATTTTTAGAATCAGTTGTTTTAAGTGGTGAAATTATTTTTAAAAATTTTGAAATACATCTCTACATGTTTTGTGTTAATGCCCACAGAAGTGGAAGAATGTCAGCAGTCAGAAAATGCACCTGCAGTTGAATCTGGTCACCTGGTGGCAGAGCAGCAGCAGCAGATCATTCGGAGCAGCAGTACACCCGATGTCACTGAGCCACTGTGCTCAGGGTCAGCTCAGGGTATGGAGAAGGTTCTTCGGTTATTAATGCAGAAATGTTGACTCTGGCTAAGAAGAAGCTTGTATGACTTATTGCTTTCTGCATTTGTTCTACTTATTTCAAGGGAATTTACTTCTTAGTTTTGGAATGTAAGGGTATAATTTCTGGGAATATAATATTTTCACTATTTATTTTAATATAGTTACATAAATTGCACTTACATATGTCCAGTGTTTTTCCAGTGTGGCATGTTTGGGAACTAGAAAGATGTCCTGAGTGGCTGGAACAGGCATGAAGCAGAGAAGGTTACACCACAAGGTCAGGGAGAGGAGCAAGTTAGGTAGAAGGCAGGGCAGGATTAAGTGGATGTGGGAAAGGGCCATGAAGAGAGCCACGAAAGTTGACAAAATGGAAAGCTGCCCAGACTTTTGAAAAATTTTATTGGCAGCTTGTAGACTCTATTGACATTGAAAATAAGTCTTAATAGCATTATTTTACATGGTTTCTCCAACTTTCAGCAGCAACATCGTGTAGAAAGCAGAGGCAGATGGTTGGACCATTGTACACATAGAATGAAAGAACATATGTAAATCATGTCTAGTGTTAATGAACATACTTACCATTCAGTTTACTTTTATGAATTACATAAAGAAAGAAATAAACCTTATTTATTTATAAGTTATCTCAAAATTCTTAATGTCACAGTCATGCTAACCTCATCAAATGAGTAGGGAAGTATTGCTTCTTAGAATTTTCTTGAAATAAAAAAATGCAATAATAATAATTTGAGAACTATATTATCTGAAGATTTTCTGTTCTCTGAAAGTTTTTGTGTAAGATTGTTGTGATATTTTCCCCTTATATATTTGGGTAGAACCCACCATTTGCCAGGAGTTTTCTGTGGGAAGGTTTTTAAATACCATTCAAGTTTTAAATCATGATAAGACTATTCAGATTTTCCTTCCCTGTTTTAATTTTGATAATTTTCTTTTTCTAGGGATTTGTTCAATTCATGTATTTTTTTTTCAAATTTATTGGTCCCAGATTTTCACAAAATCATCTTATGGTCTTTATGTTTGTAGGCTTTGTGATGATATTCCCTTTTTAATAACTGATTCTGGATATTCTTTTTCTCAGCAGTCTTTAATCTTAAGAGATTCTGAGCCACCTTACTGATTTCTTCTTCCTGTCAGCTCACCTGGCTAACTCAGGCAGCTTTTTTCTGAGACCTTTTCTTTACAACCTCCAGGACAGTGTTCCTGCCTTCTCTTGTGCTAACATAATGTGCTGAAAAAGAAGTGGCATTCAGTCCTTTTAAAAGGTCACTGTGGGCCAAAGGTTTATAGTGTGGACTTAACCCATAGACTACCAGTTTGCCAGACCTCTGACTACCTGTTTTATCTATCTTAGAATTTCTACATTTAATAATTACCTATATATAAAAATACTTTTTCAGTTTTACTACCTGACGTATTCCTCCTTTTGATTTTGTTTTTCCACCAAATCTCTATTTAGGTCAAAAGGTAGAAAACACACAGAATTTGAGTTCTTCAGAGCCTAAGCCTATCCAGGAGAATAAAGGATATGTGAAGAAAGAATATGAAGGAATAACAGTAAGATATTTTCAAACCAAATTAATTTGTCATTAAACATAAACATATAAATTACTGACACAATAATACATTTATTAATGGCAATAATAGTTTTCCATTTAGATGGTTCATAAGCCCATGTAACCTTGAAGTCTTTTAAAGTCTTGCTTGCTTTCTATGTAAAAATTATAGTCACATTACAAAAAATAGAAAAATTAACATGAAATGGAATCCACCACCTGGTGTGTATTTGGCACTCTCTATTTTTTAATCAGGTATTTTTGCCTTTCAAAAATACATTCAGATCCCTTGTTCCTGACATCATTTTAGGTAGTAGCCTCCATCTAACATGAGTTGCTAGGTAAGTCAGTTTTTGCAAAGATCTGTTACAGTTTCTTTTTTTTTAATGTGTAAAATAGCATTTTTAAAACAACTATAAAGTATAAAGAAGAGAATTTAAAAGTAGCCTATATTTCATTTATGCAGATAACTCCTGTTTATTCATTTTTTTAAAATGTGGTATATATCATAGAAAACCCCAACATCATAAAGGGTACAAAATAAAAAGAGAAAGAGTTTGCCTGGAAGATAACCAGTGTAAAATTTCTTTTGTCTTTATTTTTTAAAAGGACATATAACAGCTTATATATGTATGTTCTGTATGTATGTTTCAGTAATCACATAAACACACACAAACTAACGCCTCAGCTTAAAAACTAGAACATTTCCAGTGGCACTCCTTTGGCTCGTAACTTCCTTCCTTGTCCCTTCAGAGGAGCAGCATTTTCTTGGCTGTGTGTTTATCATGCCCTTGCTTTGCTCTATAGTTAAACAATATATATCCTTTAGTTTTTCTTATTTTTAAACATTATAAAAGTGATGTTATTGTTTTATTCAGTCATTTATGTATTTCTAAGATTCATCCACATTGCACCATGTAGCTGTAGTTCATTAACTCTTCTCTGCTGTATGTTATTTTACTGCGAATATATCATAAATCTATTTCCATTCTCTTGTTGATGAACATTTAGATCATTTGAATTTTTTTAATGAAAGATGCAGCTATATACATTCTTGTATGTGTTTTAATATCTACAAGATTAAGGTTTTCTCTGTGGTAGCTATTTAGGAATAGAATTCATGAGTCATAGAGTAGAATATTCTACCTTACAAGAGAATGTGTGTTTTCCAAAGTGGTTGCACTATATATTTCTGCCAGCAACATACAAGTTACCATTCATTCACATTCGTGTCAGCACTTGCTTTGCCAGATTTAAAAAAATTTATGACTTATGTAGGTGAAATGGGATCTTATTTTTTTATTTTTCAAATTACTAAAAAAGTTTAAAATCTTTCCATATGTTCACTGATCGTGTGTGTTCAACTGTGAAATGCCTAATGATGTCCTTACCATGTCCTATTGATTTGTCTTTTTCTCTTTAATTTGTACTAATTCTTCATATAGTCTGAGTACTGATCCTATTTTGGTTGTTTCTGGCAGATTTATTCTCCCAAAGTACATCTTGTGTTTACACTTTCTTCGTGGTGTCTTTTGATGAAAAGATGTTCTTAATTTTTCTATTCTTGGTTATCAAACATTTTTTTATGGCTCAGTTTAATGGAAATTTTAAAATACCAGTCCACAGGGATAAGTATATTTACCTTATATTTGTAAGTGTTTTCGTTTTTTTCTATACATATAAGTCTTTCCTCCATCTGGAATTGATTTTTATCTGGGGAGTGAGGCAGGGATCCAGTCCTCTGTCCCACCCTGCACATAGATAGCTACATGTCCCAGGTCCCATTTATTAAATTATTATTATTTTTTAATTGATCTGAAATACCACCTCTCTTTTTCATATATACTGTTTCCCAGATGTGTGAGGCTTTATTTTGGTGTTTCTTACCTTGATTCTGGTTACTTTATTTCTCTGCACAGTAGTACAATATCTTAATTAGTGTAGTTCCCCACTTCTTTATCCTTTCCCAACCTCTCCTAATGGAAACTATTTTTCTACTACCTTTTGTCTGTCATTATTGCTAGTCTTCCATTGTTGAGAAGTCTTCCATTCATCCTCTTTGTTGTTTCTCATTCTTTGTCCTTGTCCTTCAATTTCACTATAGTATATTTAGGTGCAGTTTCTTTTGGTTTATACATTTGTCTTTTTGATATATGCTCTGTGGCAAATATTTGTAGATGCCATCTTCCATTGTTTTTGGAAAATTCTTGGTAATCATTTCTTCACATATTGTCTCTTTTGTTCTTTCTGCTCTTCTGGGATTCTAGGTAAAAGTATGTTTAGACTTTCTTATTCTGTCTTCCATGTCTCTTAAGCCCCTTTCATATTTTCCATTTTCCTTATCCCTCTGGGTACATTCTAGGTAATTCATCAAATCTGTCTTTCAGTTTAATAATTCTCTCTTTACTTATATGTAGTCTGCTGTTTAATACTTCCATTGAGTTTTTTAGTTCAACAATTATGCCTTTCGCTTTTGAAAGTTCAGGTTGATTCTATTCAAGTATACCTGGTATCTGTGATTTCTAATAATCTCATGTTGCTTGTTTATTTTTGTAATTCTTATCTTTTATTTTTTTTAATTATTCATCTATTATACTTCTAAATTCTTTATCTGATTATCTGAAACCCTTGGGAGGGGGGTTTAAGTCTAATGTTTGTTGTTTCTGAGACTCTTGTGCATGGTGATTTATTTCCTTAGGTGTTTGGTGGTCTTCGATTTAGTTCCAAGATGGCTAATATTAATCTAAGAAAACTTGAATGTCTGAAGTGATGGAGTTTCACCAGGACAGCCTTTGCATTTGTTTCTTCCAGGAACCAGGGAGTACTACTATAATCCTAGAGTTTTAGTTTTTTTTGCCACGGGCAGTGGTAATACTAGATTTACCCCTAAGATAGACCCATTTCACTACCCAGGTTTCTACTTGCTTTTGGGAGAGGGGCTGTGGATTACTTGGATTTTCTTTCACTTCCTTATGAATCCCAAATTAAAACCCAAATTTTTTATGTAGGATCTAGTTCTGTAGCTGGTGGACATATCATTTCTCAGTCGGAAGCAGAAGAGCCTGCATTCTGCTTTTCAACTAAGGAAATATCTGGGTATATTTCCATTATCACATTAGAGCTATCATCCTTCTTTAAGGCTGTATAATATTTTTTAATATACCATTGTACACCTTCTTTTTATGGCTTATAATTATTCTGTCTTTGAATTAATAATATCTTAGTCCCTACTTCTCATTTGTTTGCTTATTTAATATTTGTTCTTTTACTTGGTTCATTGAATCTAGGTTTTCTTAATAGACTCTACACTGGAGGACCTTAAATTTACATCTTCATTCCTGGATTTATCTTGTCTCACAATCCTGAATTTTTGTTGCCTACTTACAGGACATTCTCTTTGGATATTCAGCCCATAGGTGAAAATTCAAATATCAGAAACTTTCTCTGTTCCTTTGTTTATTATCCTTTTTTCCTTCCTTCCTTTGTCACCATCATTAACATGGTCCCCTAGGTTCATTTCCTTTTGTGATTTCATTTTATTCCACTGTCATATGCAGCTGATTATAATCTCTTGTCTCCCATTCTTCAGCATTTTTCTTTTTTAATTATTATTGTTCAATTACAGTTGTCTGTATTTTCTTCCCACCCCTCTCCCCCCATCCCCTTCAAACCCACCTCCCTCCCTTGCTTCCACCCTCCCCCTTGGTTTCCTCCATGTGTCCTTTATAGTAGTTCCTGACAACCTTTCCCCCTCTGTCCCCTCCCCCCTCCCCTCTGGCTATTGTTAGATTGTTCTTATTTTCAATGACTCTGGTTATTGAAAATTTCTTATTTCATTTGCTTTTTTCTTTTGTTGATTATGTTCCAGTTAAAGGTGAGATCATATGGTACTTGTCCCTCACTGCCTGGCTTATTTCACTTAAGACAATGCTCTCCAGTTCCACCATGCTGTTGCAAAGGGTATAAGCTCCTTCTTTCTTCTACGTAGAATTCCATTTTCTTACTTGCCTTTTCCCTCTCTCTCTCCCCCTCTTCTCTCTCTTTTTTACCAATAAAAGCCTTATCTGCTCATTTCTGAATCACCATAACAGTTCCATAACAATTTCTTCTTAACACTAATCCTGCAGATAACTACTAGACTTTTCTATCTAGATATGTTTTTAATCACAATAAGTTATTGTCTGGAACATATTGCTCATTTTGTCAATGTTGGGTTGAAATTCCTAAACCTGATGTTGAAGGCCCACTGGCAGTTGCCTCTTTTAGAAGGTGGTCTGCATTTTCTTATCTTTTTTCTCTTCACCTGCCTGCCCTGCATGGCTGCTATAATCAGCTTCTTTTCCTACACATAGAATTTGCTGATTACCACTCAGTGCTTCCTGCCTTGAATCCCCTCCTGCCTTCTCTCTACCACTTCATGTCTGTTGCCTTCTTGAACAGCTGTCCTGTTACTGTGGCCAATTAAGGTAACACTTTATTCTGCATACCTTGTAGAAAAATTTATTTGCCTATTTTGCTTATGTACCTTGTAATCATTTTGTGTAATATATGTATGTTTTGTCTCTCCAAGCAATGCATAAATTTTATAGGATGCAGATTACCTCCAAATATTTTGGTGCTCTATATTTAATACAGGGTCTAATGCTGAATGGTGCTCAGGAAAGTCTGTTGCACATTTAACAAGTAAGGCACTAAGTGACTTTTAGAAAAGTCTTGGTGGAGTTTATCCCTTTCCTGCCAGCAGACTTACCATCTGTGGGAAACTTAGGCCTTCTGGAGAATTGCATTCACTATATATGTGTGTTTGAGCAGAGGAACAAAGAGAACTTTAAAATAAAGTATTTTCATATAATTTTGTATTTTTTTTCAGTAAATCAGTTTAATTGAATGTCAGTTGACAAAGTAGAAGCCATAAATTTTGGATCGTGAGTAATTTATAATTCAATTATAATTTGTGAACACATCCTTTAAATAGAAACAACATTCAGGTTTTTTTGTTGCTACTATTGTTTATTTCTCTTTCCTTAGAAATGTAGACTGAAAACTTTACAGTCTTGTAAAATTAAAACTTTCCTGTAACAAATAAAATATTTCTTTTGTCTGAAGATCTTAGTTCGAAGAAGCAGCAGCTCTGCTGAACTGGATTTAAAAGATGATTTGCAGCAGACGCAAGGAAAATGTAGGGAAAGACAGAAGAGTAAGTTCCAGGAAATGTGGTGTGTTTTAATCCAGATCCAGAGTTGTTGTATTTCATTTTCTGTTTACTTTCTAATTTAAATGCTATCATCTAAAGAGATGTGGTTGCAAAATGGGACATTTTTATTCCTGGAATCTTAGGATTGATAGACATTTAGTTCACACATACAATAAACAGTCCCAGTCAGTTACCTGTACCTTAGAGGCCTATCTCCACCACCTTCCCCCTACCACCACCACCAGGCCTTTCCTCAGAGAGGCACAACCAAGGCTAATAGCTAGGTGAGCAGACAAACCAAGAAGGAAAAATGATCTTCCCTAGAGTATCCCCACCAGCTAGGAGCAAAATGCTTCAGAAGTACGTTGAAGTCAATAGTATAAGTACTTAAAAAATAATATTTGATTGGAATCCTTACACATTTTATCATGTGCAGTAAAATGTGGCCCTAATGTGTCTTAAAACTCTGCTTTCTCAAGAGCAAGTGCTGGGCCACCTTCTTCTCAGAGCAACGTAGTAAACAACTCAGGTCCAGGGTGTTCTTGGTGGGATATGGAAGAACTTCTCTTAGTCTCCTTCAGTCCCTTTTGTCTTAGAGTTCTGTGGCAGTGAAGTAAGGGACTTAACAGGTTAGTAACTAGGACAACTTTCAGTTCTTTGAAAATGGAAAGAGGACATCAGATTAGAAGCAGTAAGGCTGGGAACTGTCAACTACAGATACAAAAAGCAGCTGAAAGAGTGAGCCAACAGAAAGGGGAAACACATAAAATTGTTATGAAGTAGACAGGAGACCTGGAAGAGTAAACTGTCTAGGTCTGTTTTGTGTTAGACAAAATAGCCCTCTAAGGCTTAATAGCTTTTGAAAGCATCATTGTATTTTAACAAATTATAACTTTTTAGTATATGAAGGAGAGAGTTTCTACTGCAGATGTTTTGCTGCAGAATACCTTATCCTCTAGTGATCCTGGGTGATTCAGCCTGAGTTGAGGTCTAGACATCAGGCTCAAAATGTAAAACATTATTAGACTCTTCTAGCCAGCAGAATAAACTTGCATTTGTGATGAACCAATTTCCCCCCTTTTCTTCCACCCCCATTTTATAGTTTTATAAGTTGCAGTACAAAGCTTAAGGAAATGATGCAATCCTTTGGGTATATGGTATAACTAAGTTAAAGCTTCTGAAAACGATGCTACTTGTGTGACATATAGTGGAGCTATAATAATTATTAAGGTCCTGCACTTAAAAGCTTTGTTTCACTGAGCAAGAGCCCCACAAAAGCATGTTTTGAGTCCTTCTGCCCTTTATGATTCCTGTTGTGTCAGGTGTTTATTTACTTGTGTGTAGGTAATTGTGAGCATTCTAATTTCCAGCTATTAGTTATCTCAGACTTTGTTTCTTCCATTGTGCCAGGTGAAAGTGTCAGCAGTGACACAGCTCTGGGCTGGAACAATGAGGCAGAGTTGTCCATGACTTCATGGCAGACCTGTGAGGAAGATACAGAACTGAACTCTCCCACAGATGTTGTAGCTGACTCTGATGCCCGCCATTGGTTACAACTGAGTCCCACTGATACTTCAAACTTCACAGGTAACTGTGTCTTTGAAAAGGAGGCAACAGTGCTAATGGATGGGAGATCCCATGGTTTCCTAGTTGTAAGAAATTTAGGGGTTTTTTAGCACAATGATGATAAGGGTGCCACTTCCAACCAAATTGCTTGTGGCAGCCCCAACAACCTGTTTATAATCAGTCATGAATTTTGAGACATGTAGAGAGGGTTCTAAATTAGTGGCCAGATAATGGAAAGAAAACTACAGCCACTATCCACCAAAGGAAGAAGTGATGATACTCATGTCAAGCCTTTGACATCCCTGACTCTGAAAACAGAAGAGTGATTTTATTCACTTTATAAGGGCCCTAAATCTAGGATAAGTTTTAGACTTTGAATAGCTTATTGATGAATATGTTTTTGAAATTTTACTATAAAAAGTGAGTACCAGTGAGCATAGTACACAACTTAAGAGATAGAACAACAGCCCTGGTGGGCTAGCTCAGTTGTGTAGAGTATCGTCCTGATACACCAAGTTTGTGGGTTTGATCACTGATCAGGGTGCATAAAGAAGCAACCAATGAGTGCATAAATAAGTGGAATAAAAGTCAGTGCCTCTCTCTGTCTCGCTCTCTTTGTCTCTCTCCCTTTGTCTCTCTCCCCCACTCCTTTCTCTCTCTAAAAATGGATAAATAAAATAAAAAAAAATACAATATCCAAATCAGTAAGATTTCCTAGAAGGCCTTCTCAAGTCCCTTCCATTCTCCCATTACTCTGTGACCCTATCTCAAAAATTTTTATAATCCCTTGATTTATTTATATATCTACCTCATATATCTGTCTCAAGCAATCAAATAGATCATATTTTTAAACTTTTAAAAGTGATGTTATACTCCCTATTTTTTTTTGCACCTTTTACCCCAGAGTATAGTATTTTTAAGATTCATATGTGGACTACAAAGCCAAACTTTCTGGGTCTGCATCCAGGCTTTGCTGAGGAATTGATGGGTGACTTTGAGCAAGTTAGTTAATCTCACTGTCCTTCCTCTTCTTTTCTGTACAATAGGTATAATAATAGTCCCTACTATAGGGTTGTTGGAGGAATGAAAGAATGAACATACAAGTCTAGTGCACAGAATATTGTGTGGAAGTGCTCTGCAGTTTAAGCTATTCATATGCACACATACACACATACATATGCACATGCATATATAATGTGTGACCCTGGGGGTGCAAACCTTGAAAGGTTCAGCTCTCTCACCTTTGTGACAGGGCTGGTGAGAATGGTGACCCCAAAGAGAGTTGGGTATTTGTTTTGCTTAGTTTTTGTGTCAGGAGAGACAAGTGTTCTGAGGAATTAAGTGTGGAAAACACCATAGCCAAGTCTTTCCTGGTCTACCATACTCATGTTTACATACGGGTATCTTTTATGAAATAACAAGCTATAAATCACATGTTGAGAAGTTGTTATTAAAATGCCAAAAATGATTTTCATATAAAGTTTTACCTTAAGTAGTTTTTTTTTAACCAAACAAACTTTGGTTTCTATTCATCCTAATGTAAAATTTAACCAGAGTCTCTGATGTTTTGGAAGTTTCTGATGGAGTAACATTAAAACTTCATAAAATTTACATAGAAAAGTGGTATATGATAAAATCTTTTATCTATAAAATAGATAAGACCAAGAAATATGATCTTAATGTGTATTTAATGTATGTGTGTTTTAATAATAGAATAATAAACAAAAATAGACCAATTAGCTATAAGTGAATAACATACTGCCTTATAATGCTGTAGTGCTATCCTTAAAAGATAGTAGACATTTTTGGTCTATGTATTCAAATCTGCCATGGTAGAATCCTTGCAAAGGCAATGAGAAAATGGGAAAATATGGGGTTAGTTTGTAAATTATTGGGTAGCAATTTGTACTTCTCAAATTTTTATTTCCTTTTACAGTGATTTAAAATTGTTTATATATAGTTATGTATAATGATTTTGAATAATAATACTGTAAATTTTTATGGGATCTAACCCCTTTACAAAGAACTTGATTCTGTACAGTAAGAAGGCTAAATCTGACATAGTCTGTTTTAGAGATGGGAAAACTTAGTCCCTGAGAAATTTAATCTAGCTAGAAGGTACATGCCATAGTTAGAACTGTATTTTAAAGTGTTTTGACTCCACATGCAGTGCTGTCTACTCCCTTCCACTGCACTGCTGTTAAAATTACAACTGCAAAACCCTTTAAACTATTTGAAAATCATTAATACATTTATGGAATAAATGGCTTCTCTGGGTTTAATATACAGACTACCTAAGGGAAACTCATGGTGGCACTATTGAAGGCAATACTGAATCTTTAAGTTGAATTTATTTAAACAGAAACTAGTTTTAATTATTTTTATTGAAAAGAAAGAAAATTGGGTGATTACTTCCTTTGTCCTTTAGAAAGATTAGTTTTGATCCCATTTCAGAGTATACATGGGATAGCTCAATTTAATAAACTTATGTGAGGTAACTGTATATGATGTACTCTCTGTGTCATGATTAACTCCTCCAGCTACTTAGCTCTTCTTTGAAATGCTGATGTAGACAATCAGCACACTCAGTTCAGTAGTTCATCTTGTCATCTGTGAAAAGGACAAACCGTAATATGATAAGGTTTAAGGATTATCACAGTTCTGAATTTAACTTTCTGTGCTTAAGAGGATTTCTTTATAAATGTGCAAAATAAAACTAATGTTAGCCTGGCCTTTAGGACATGCCAAGAGAGTGATCAAACAATTTGAGTGTATCTGTTTCTCATTGTCTAAAATCTTAAATTCTTTCATCACTGGCAAAATAACAGTTTAGTTTTATATTTGCTTTCTCATTTAAATAATTTCATGTTTACTGAAAATAACAGCTAAATTAACTGTGCCTTCTGTCAAAATGTAATGGGTATTTGTTTTAATCTGGTATGGTAAGGCATGCAGACATGGAAATGATTATCATGAAGGAATAACTTTATACTCACAGGTCCCTAGAAACAGGAGGCCAGGCCTGCTGTGCAGGTGAGCTACACAGGAAAGCACCAGAGTTGGTCAGGAGACAGTGGGAAAGAGGGGCAAAACTGTGCAACAGCCTTAATGTCATTTCCATGGGAAAGGAAAGGCAAGCCAGGGTAAGCAGAGATAGGATAGCTAGTTTGAACAGTTTCAGCTAACTCTGGAGCATAGATGCTGACCCTGGTTGCCCAGTGCCAGGCCCTGGGGTGACTGTGGCAGGGAAATAGATATATTGGCTTGATGTGAAAGAGCCAGATAAAGGAGATAGTTGGGAGGTATGAGCTTTGTATTGGGTAGTATGAAAAGGAACAATTTCTGGTGAGTTGTTGGCTGTCTCTTGGAATTATTGACCCTAGGAAGGGCAGGGACGGTCATTTCCTGATCTGGAGGTTCTGAATCCAGAGCATTAGTTGATACCTTTATCAATTTTGTTCTGCTGAGATAATGATTTTGAAGAATATTTACAACTAAGAATGTTCTCTTATACTAAATAATCTCTTATTTAGCAAATAAGCTTACAAACTGGAAATACTGATTTTGATGCTGTAAGAAATAAAAACAGGAATAATCATAACCACAATTGACTTAATAGCTTACCAAGAAAACAAGACATTTCCTTCTAGTGACAAATAATGTGATAAGTGCTATGAGGTTCATATACAGAAAGTTTTAATCACAGAGATAGACAAATAGAGTAATAAAATAGAATATAAAATACTGAATCCACACAGGAATGGAATCATGATGTTATGAAAGAGGTGGCAGTCTAGATCTAGCAAGGAAAGGATTAATTTTATCCTTTTATGCCTGTGGGGCAAGTATTTAGCCAAATAGAAAAAAATGAAATAGAATCCCTTCCTTACACCATGCCCAGTCAATTCCAGATGGATAAAATACTTAAACATTAAAAGGAAATTTTAAAAACTTTTGGAAGAAGAATACCTTCTAAAAATATCTTAAGACTTTTGGGTAGGGAAGGTTTTCTTAAACAATATGTTTTTTAAAAGCTAACTGAAATAGAGTTATTAGTCATTAATTTAATTGCAGCATAATTAAAACTTTCTTTTTATTATCAGAAAAACTTTAAGAACTCTAAGGGGTGGCAGAACCCTGAAGGGAAAAAGCCAGCTTTGGTGTTCTTCCCCCTCCAGGTTCCTTTCAGGTCAGTGATGTGTTTTAAGATAAGGTTTAGTAAGAATTTGTATTCAACATTTTGGGTTAGTGGGGAGAAGGTCACTGTTCTTCCCCTGCTGGAATATAATCTCGGGGAGAGTGTCATTGTTGTTCACAGCTGATTCTTGACTTCCAGAACTGTACAGGGCAGGAGAGGAACATTAGTAAATAGCCAAATCAATGAATGAACAGGGGTGTCCAACTCATAGGCAGCATGTGGCCCAGGATGGGTATGAATGCGGCCCAACACAAAATCATAAATTTACTTAAAACACTTTGAGATTTTGTGTGTGTGTGTGATTACGTGTCATTATGTATTTAATGTGTGGGCCAAGACAACTCTTCTTCCACTGTGGCTGAGAGATGCCAAAAGGTTGGACACCCCTGCTTAAGTTTAGACTATTGTTTTATTTAGTTAAAATACCATTAAATTTTAACCTTTTTTAGTAATAAAAAATGTGAGATTGTTTCAAAACCTTTTTTGTTTAGTGTATTTATCGCATCCCTGCCTCCAAATATTGTTATAGAAATCCTTTTAGCACTTCTGCTTTTAATTATAGCTGTGCATATGAATTACATTCATTGTTACCTGCCATCAAAGCTGTTTTGGTGAAATGGTGTGCTTGTCGGTGTTGTCTGCCATTAGACTTTTTTTCCAGCATTTTGGCTTTGATCTGTCTGATGGGTTGCTCATCTTGGAAAGCAGATAAGGAAGGAAAGTCAGGCTCTAGTGCTAGCCAACAGAACACCAGCAGACCTGCTACCTCTGCACTTTGGATCCTCAAAGGTCAGGCCTGATTTTTCTGGTCCCAGAATTAAGGTGTTTCAGTTGAGCCTTTAGATTTGTCTTTAATGTCAAATCAAAAGAGAAATTCATTTCTAAAGTGCCTGTTATGTTTCTTTAACACTCTACCACCCCTACATAAAAGTGCCCCTGTGTGAAATCATTTGGTCATAAGTGCCTATTTTACCAAGACTTATTTTATGACTAAAAGTTTTTGCCTATTTGCAAAGTTCTAAACTTTATATTGCTCTGTTAAAAATCATGTATATGTTTAGAGAGAGAGAGATTTTATTTGTTCACAAGAGTTTCCAGTTTAATAAGAAATATTTAAATGCCCCTGTTGCATTTAGTCATAATGAAATGAAAAGATCCTAGGTTAGCATACCAGCTTGCTCATGAAAAAGAAAATAAAAGTCTATATTTGGCGTTTTTTGGGTGAACATGAAATTTTCTGAAATCTCTCAAATCCCTATTTTTCATTAAGTACTGCTTCACTGAGGAACCATCTACATGTAAAATGTCAGCATCTGTTCTGTTACTTATGCCATGAGTGCAGTAGTTTGGGGCAAAAACATTTCATCTCATTAAAAATTTTTTCACAGTAATATTGAGCATGCAGTTATTTCAGACACTTCTAAAAGACTCAACATATTTTGATGGGAATGTTACCTAGGATTTTATCACTGAGGTATAAATTTTTCAGAGAGCATAAGAGTATTGAAAAATTTTTTTAGATAGGGTCCTTTTTATAACTGAGAATGTATTATTTGCAGGTAGCAAGGAGGTACAGATGATCAGGTACCTAGCCTTTTTTACCTTGTGGTGTCACTCAAGCAAAGCTCCAGTGTGATTGGAGTTTGGGGGGCTAATCTTTATTTTGGATGGCTGCATTTTAGGAATGGTGGGAAGGGATTAAATAGAACTATAAATCATCTAATCCCCTTACTTTTTAATACCCCTCAAGGGATTAAAGACATCATAGTATTTTTTATGAGAAAAATAAATGCCATACTATGCTCTGTATTCAGTTGGGATCTTGTGTTGATTTATAAACTTTCATTAAAGCTTTATCATACCTTCTTGACAGATGCTTGGTATTGTACTTATTTTATAGATTAAACATTAGGAGGATGAGTCTCTTTCAGAGAAGAAAAGACCCATGATCAGGCTTTTGTTCTCTATACCTCCTGTCTTTGAGTCACAGTGTTTAGGAATTCCATTTTGAATTAGATCTGCACATTTTATTGTGTCTCTTTAGTGGATTATATGATACTTATATGGGAAATACAGATGTGTTTTCCTTTAAGAAGGAACAGTGCTCCTGTTTGAGTAAGGTCTTTCCATGACACTATGTGCCACCCTCATTAAATCTTTTGTTTCATTGTTTTGGGATCTTTTAATGTCTAATAAAATAAGCTATTACCAGCTGTCTTGAGTGCAGGAAAGGATGCAGACCATTCTTGGATCTGCCTTGGCTCCTTGTCAGATTCACTCCTTTTTGTTCCTTGTTGAGTCTTGTCATTCCTGTATTTGAGTTCCTCACACCCACCAACTGTGCTTCAGTTTCTTTGATTAGGCCCTAAAAACACCAACAACATAGGTACTCAATGAGAGTGGGAATTAATAATTGCCTAGAAATCAGTTTGTCTTCATCTGTGTGGGAAATTTTTGAGGAATACAACTTTAGGAATAATTATGTTAATAACAAATGGTGTAAGATAAAAGAGAAAGGGGTCTAGTAGTAGAGGTAGGACACAACTTTTTAAACTCCCTCCAAAGATTTAAAAGAGAAGCAAAGCAAAGGAGATCCTAATTAAATCAACATATTGATAGATAAGAAGAAAGAAAGAAAACACTGGTCTAACTATATGTATGTACGTCACATAAACTTTAAAACAGAAATCATTTATTAGTAACAACAGTAATTCTGAATTTATATGAACTTTATAACCTCTAGATAAATGAAGCAAAAGTTGACAGAATTATAAGGAACTACTGATAAAACCATATTTATAGTAGAAAAATTTAATAACTAAGAAATTGAGAGTTAAGAATATATTAGACTAGAGAAACCTTATACAATACAATTAATGGAGATATTTATATATATTCAATGGAGATATTTTATACCTGTATAAAACTTTGAACTGAGTTAAAATGTGATTAAAACTTGTGATTAAAAGCATATGGAACATTTACAGAAATTGACCGATTACATCTTTAAGGAAGTCTCAACCAATGTCAAAATTTGAAATCATATCACATTCTATAAATGTGATAATATAAATTAAGAACAAAAGGATAATAAAATAAAAATAGATTGAGAAACTAACCACTGTACTTTATGTAAGTCCAAAAAGAAATTAAATTATAAATTAGGAAATACTTCAAACTGGACTACGGTGAAAACTACATATCAGAAGCTGTAGAATGTAGCTAAAGACTATATGGAAGAAAATATGTTTTTATATTAGGAGAGAAAAAATTTATCTGTGTGTTCTATTAAAAAAATTAGGGGAAAATGGCAGAATAATATATAGAAGTTAATAAAAATGGAACTAATAAAGCAAAGTGCATACTCATATGCTAGAAAGTAATAGAGGGGACTATCAGAAACAACTCTTTAAAAAAAAATAAAATAGACGATTGGCAAGATTGATTAAGGAAAGAGTATTGGGGGTGAAAAGGGAACAGGACTAAAAAAATTTTAAATAATATAGTAGGTTAATTTGAATATATTTATAAAAATAAAGACCAATCCCTAGTTTTGTGAAGCTTCAAATAAGTGAGAAACTATTTTTAACAACCTGTTCCAGATTCTAGAAGGGAAAGAAAGCTCCCTAACTTCTGTTATCTAACTTGTGTTACCTTGATAATGAAACCAGACAAGGTGCATACTTAAAAAGGAAAAATTAGGGTCCATCTTACTTAAAAGTGTATCAGCAAAATTCCTAAACAAAGCATTCCAATGAAATCTAAGAATATTGGGAAAGGATCATACATCAGAAGTAAGAAACATTCATTACAGGAACACAAGCCAAAAAGAAAAAATCCATCATAAGAACATCAGACAAATCTCAGTTAAAGAAGATTTTATAAAATATCTGATCAGTACTCTTCAAAACTGTCTGTCTTTAAAAAGAAGGAAAATCTGGCCTTGGCTGGCGTAGCTCAGTGGACTGAGCGCAGGCCATGAACCAAAGTGTCGCAGGTTCGATTCCCAGTCAGGGTACATGCCTGGGTTGCAGGCCATGACCCTCAGCAACCACACATTGATGTTTCTCTCTCTCTCTCTCTTTTTCTCCCTCCCTTCTCTCTCTAAATAAATAAATAAGTAAGTAAGTAAATAAATAAATAAATCTTTAAAAAAAAAAAGAAGGAAAATCTAAGAAAATGTTACAGCCAAAAGCGGGCTAAGGAAACATGACAGTTAAATGCACTATCATATCCTGGATGGAACCCTAGAACAGAATAAAGTCATTAGCTTAAAATTACCTAAAGCAATCTAACTAAGTATGGACTTTATAATAATGGTTTAATATTGGTTCTTTGATTGTAACAATGTGCCGTATTTATGTGGGATGTTTAGTAATAGGGAAACTCTATATGGAGTATATGGGAACCCTCTATACTATCTTAGTAATTTTTGTATAAGTCTCAAAACTATTCTAAAAAAAAGTTTATTTTTTAAAATAATTCAGTAAAAATTGTCAAATAACAATTTTCATCTTAATGATTTTACCCTGAAACACTGGTAATTTTCATTCAAGAAAAAGCCTCCATGATGAAATCAAGATTATGTTTCCAGGGTTAACACACATGTTTTTCTCCATAGATAGCAGCGAATGCCTTACAGATGACTGCAGCATAATTGCTGGAGGGAACCTCACTGGTTGGCACCCAGACTCTGCTGCTGTGTTATGGCGAAGAATCTTAGGAATCCTTGGAGATGTGAATAATATCCAGTCGCCAAAGATCCATGCCAAAGTTTTTCGCTATCTATATGAACTCTGGTACAAACTAGCAAAGGTACTCTTGCTATGTTACCTTTATTCTAATATGGAAAAATTGACTTAGTTTAACATAAAAACTGTGTTGCAAGTCATTACTGAACATACCCTGGAACAAAGACTAGTTGTTTACATGAAGTATGTTTGATTATCAAAGAATAAATAATTTTTACAGTTTGGTTATTTTATAAATATAAAAATTATTTAATGTATAAATATAATATTACTATAGGATACTAAAGAATAGGGTGTTCAGTCATTTTAATTACTCTTTTTATAAAACTGATACTGGTTTTATTTTACAAGATTTGAAAAATGTAGAAAAATACTAAGAAATAAATTGATTTCACCTCCCCACAGAGAGAACTAATAATAAAAATGGTTTTATTTCTACAGATAAATAAATTTTTGTTAGAGTACATACAATTCTCATTCTGGTTTTTGTTTGTGTTAATAACATTTGCCCCTTTTTTTTCAATCCATGATTTATGTTTATACAGTATATCTTGTTGAACCATTTATCATTTAGAGTTCAGGACCTCTTCAGGCATTAATATTCCAGGAAAAACAATGCCCTAATTTTATATTACATCTAAAACCACATATGGTAAATTAGACATATAATTTGAAAGGACAATAGATCTCATAATAAAAGAAAAGAAAAACTTATAAACATTGTAGGTTTTCACTTACAGAAATTGTATTGGAAGAAGCTATTTGACCATGGAATACAATATTGGAATATTGTTGGGATAAACTGTGTTGTTCCTTAAAATTCTTCTCTTTGTGAATCAGATACGAGATAATCTAGCAATAAGCCTGGATAACCAGTCTTCTCCATCTCCTCCGGTCTTGATCCCACCACTCAGAATGTTTGCATCATGGCTATTTAAGGCAAGTCAATATGTTTTTATTCCTTCAATGTAATTTCCTCTTCCTTCCTGAAATTGAGTTTTAAAAATGTAATTGCCCAATACTGGATGTTTTGAAGACAGTCTCAGTATTACTAAAGCCAACGCATCCCACATCTCCATATGGAAAACTGAAAAATAAATGAAATGCTGGAATGCTGTGCTGTATCTGGAGTTGATTAAACCTTTAAACATCATCTTCTTGGCAGGCAACGACATTGCCAAATGAATATAAGGAAGGTAAACTACAAGCCTACAAATTGATCTGTGCCATGATGACCAGACGCCAGGATGTTCTACCAAACTCAGACTTCCTGGTACATTTTTACCTTGTGATGCACCTGGGATTAACCAGTGAGGATCAGGTATTCTGTGATTCCTTTATCATGGTAGCCCATTATTGGGAATGTGCATATAACTCTGCAGGTCAAATCAGGGTTTATGAAAATACATCAGAACTATTAAAATTCTCAGTGGTTTTGACCCTTTCATACACAGTACCACACTGGTCTTTCCAAAATGTAAATAAGATTTTTATCATATACCTATTTCTTCTCCCCACTGACTTTGCATTGAATCAACCAAATTTGAATTTTATTCTATGCACTTCTATATAATCTAAACTTTGTTTATGTTGTCAGCTTCAAAAAGGCTGCTCAGCCACTTTTTGTTGGGGTTCTACATCACATATTGTTTGAAGAAAATGATTCTGGTCTTTTAAAAATGTTCGAATGTTTGAAAACTATTGTTTTAGAAGTTAGAATATATTTGTGGAAGACCTCATCCATGAATTAGGGGTCCTGACATTTCTTGATCAGGAGTTACTTTCATTTCTTCCACAGAGAAATATTGGTGGTTAAGTTGAAACAGAAAGGCCAAAGGAGTCATTAGCAATAACGTCTTTTTGTAGATCCTGGGTGTGCAGGGTGGGCTGTGGCCAGACCCTGGCCTTCCTCCCTTGAGAACTCTCCTCCCAGTGGGCAGAAGACGGGAAAGAAGCCAGGGAAACCCTGAGTCTTGAATTTCTGTGTGAATGTCCTTCAAACAAGTGATGTGATTGATTCGTATTTCACAGAGATTATTCTGGACTCTGCTTGGAGAATAGATTTAAAAAATGTGAACGTGGTAGGATAGAGCAGGAAGTTGGGCCTGGAGACAGATTAATTAGGAAGTAGTTAAATTAATATACAATTATTTTTGAAATGATAAGAACTAAGATGGTAGCATTGAGGATGGGAAGAACAGCAGGAAAGAGTCAAAAAATTTTAAGGCATTTAATTTTATCACTAGGTCTTTACCAATTTTTGAGCTAGTGTAGATATTTATTAATGAACTTGAATCATTCGTAAATTGTGAGTAGTCATCCTTTCTGTATTTCTTTCATTCTTGAATGTGTGATGCAGATACAGACTTTTTGATACTCCTAGGATACATGTAAGAGATCATTCTGATTAACCACCTTTACTTTTCTTTCTTAATAAAGATTTTATTTGTTTGTTTGTTTGTTTGTTTGTTTGTTTATAGAGAGGGGAAGGGAGAAAGAAAGAGAGGGAGAGAAACATCATTGTGTGGTTGCCTCTGAGCGCCCCCTACTGGGGGCCTGACCTGCAACCAACTTGTGCCCTGATTGGGAATTGAACCAATAACCCTTTGGTTCCCAAGCCAGCACTCAGACCACTGAGCCACACCAACCAGGGCTTAACACAACTTTTCTTTGTTGCTTCACAGTGTACTTAAATCTTCCTAACCAAACTATTGCATTATGCTCCCTGATTAACAATTTGAGCTTTAATCAGTGAGCTTTTTTATCTGAAGTTAATAGCCATACTGACCAACTGAATTGTTTTTATTATATTTGCTCCCATTTCAGCTTTGTGTAAAGGACATTTATATCAGGCTAGACTTAGACCCATAGTCTCATTTATTTCCTAAATAGAAACACATGGGAAAATAGAAGTGTTTGTGCTCTGTGCTCAGATATTTTGCAGCCATCATTGCAGGTGGAAGCATCTTTTGCAGAATGTTGCAACTCAGGGGATATGGTATAGATAGGGAAGAGAATTAACTCACAGATAGTAATGACATCCCTCAGTGACAGAACCAAGAGACGACTCTGTAGTTAACACTGCTGCACTTGCAAGTAGTATTTTGCTAAGTTTTTGCAGGAAAAAAATTTACTTAGAAATAATAATCAACTGTAGAATCTTCTAATTTAATAAAAACAAATTTAAAGTTAGCAGTAAACAGTATTTCTAGAATGAATTTTCTTGAAAGTCATATGCATAGGTGTGAGTTTAGAAACATCTTTCTATTTTTAAGTGTGTTGGAGTGAAAATGAAACAATAAAATGAGATTAAATAAGTATAAAATTTGAGAACCCAAAACATTATTTTGAAAAACAGGATTTTATAATGCAGAAAGTTTTCAAATTTTATACTTAAAATCATTTTCACATTGTAATGTATGCCATGTTTTTTGTTAATTTGATCTTTTGTAGTTCATTGTAAAATACATAAATCTCTTTTTTTGAGGTTTGATTTATTTATTTTTAGAGAGAGGGGAAGGGAGGGAGAAAGCGAGGAAGAGAAACATCAGTGTGTGGTTGCCTCTCGAGTGCCCCCTACTGGTGACTTGGCCCACAACCCAGGGATGTGCCCTGACTGTGAGTCAAACCAGCAACCCTTTGGTTCACAGGCAGGCACTCAGTTTGCTGAGCCACACCAGCCAGGGGGAAAAAAAACATAAATCTTAAATGATGGCCCATTACTAGCAGTAGTTCCAGTGTCTAAACTTCTAAGATAAAATGGGGATATGATAAATCTATTTTATAATCTCCCTGTTGTTTAAATTTTTGTGTTTAATAGAATTAACTGTTTTGCTTTAACCATTACAATTATTGGTGTATGTTTTAGAAGCCTTGGCTGCCAAACAGAATTTCTCTAAATAAACTTTACTCCTTTGCCAGAAGAAAATTACACATATCTTCCAATGAAAGAAACTTCTCATTTAAGTAAGAAATATCTCTGGTAATTAGTTTAACTGTGGCCCACATGTCTAGATAGATCATTGGTGGTTGTTCCATAACTTATATGTACTTCTGGAAACACATGTTATATTATAAAAGGAAAAGGAAGCTTTTACCATAAATAGTGCAGTTAAATTCGGTTTTTTAATTGGCAAACTGTGCACCTATGATGACTACCATCTCAGGGCTTGTTTCTATGTTGTGAGAGTTCTCAAGAACCACCCTTTTATGTCTGGCACTAAAGCCTTTGGTCATGCAAAAAGAGCATTATTAATTTTTCTTATTTTTAATAAGATAAGTAATAAAAATACTTTTTATAATTTTACCATCTATTAAGTTTCACACATTAAAATCTAAGGTGCATTTCTTCCTTTTGCCTCTGGGTGGCATACTTGTCTGCATGACTCAATTGTGTGGATCAAGGACCACCACTGAATTTTAAAATTGCCTTAGGCCCAGGGCCCTGTGAGCATCATCTTGTGGCATGGTAATTTTACAAATGCTTTCCTAAATCTGAAAGTGCCAAAATTGTTTTAGAAGTGACTAATAATGTGTTGAATTTGAAATAAGCTCTAAGATGTTAAAAATCTTTTTTGTTTTTTTTTCTTCAGATATAAGGATGCTTGTATTAATTAAAGACTTTTTAAATTAAAAAAACTGGGAAATAGGTGTCTCAGAGATTGCATTCTGTGATACAATCTTGTGAAGTCATCAATTCATCTAATATAGCAATTTTCAACTTATCTCCTGTGGCACACTAGTGTGCCACAGAATTTGTAAAACATACAGTACCTGACTATTTAGTCGTAGGCACTGACCTCTTTTTGTTAGCTTGTCAAATTTTAAAAATGACAACAGCCAGTATAACAATAGCTGTCAGTGTAAATGAATCAAAATTATATCTGTTTTTTTGTCAGAGAAGCAAAAAATATATTTTTTGGTATGCCGCAGAACTTCAGTAATTAACTTATTTGTGCCACAAGGTGAAAAAGTTTAAAAATTGCTGATCTAATGTGATAGCAAATTAATTATGTAAACAAATATAGTTACCTCTATATTTAAATAATAGTAAATTATATTGAATAGCCAGAATTCAAAAAGTGACATTCCAAATCAACTGTTTTTAATATTGGTTGGACCAGTTTTAGCTAGTCTAATAACTTTAATAATTTAATAGTTAAAACAATGACCTTATCAAATAGCATTGCTACAGTGTAAGTTTTTAGTTTTTTAGTGTGATTGAGAAAAATACTTTGAAAAAGCTTTATTTTTCCTTGACTATAAGTTTTTCAAAAATTGATTCTGTTAATGGTTTAGAAAAATAATTAGGGTCTAAAGACTCTCAGAATAACTGTAAATTATGAATGAAATTTGGATTTCTTTTGGGGCTGCCCAGCCTGCCTATGAACAGTCTTTCAGTTGGCCGCCCTCTGCACAGCTGCTTTGTGTCTAGGGGGCAGAGAGTCTTTGTTCCCCTGGTACCTACAGTGCCAGACTCTGATGCGAACTGCATGATGCTCTCCCATTGATTTTTCTTTGCAGTTCAGTTAAAGAAATATCATAACCCATTGTATAAATAAGTAACTTTCAAAAAATACTGAGAACTTTTGTCCAATGCCACATATTTTTTTTATAAAGACTTAGGATTCACAGGCAGGCCTAGCTTAATCCAGAGGGTATATCTTTTTTCATTGATTCACAGCTGACAAGTGTGTCAAGCAAACAGTCCTTGGTCCTATTCCTTCCCTCCGTCTTGTTTTATTTTATTTTTTTTATCCTTACCTGAGGACATCTTTTCACTGTTTTTGGAGAGAGAAGAAGGGAGAGAGAGAAACATTGATGTGAGAGAGAAGCAGGGATTAGTTGATTCCTGTACATGCCTAGACCAGGAAATTGTATGTTCCTGTGCCTGAAACTGGGATTGAACACACAACAGGGATTGAACTGGGGATCAAATAGGCATGTGGCCCAGCCAAAAATTGAGCCACAACCTTTTGGGTACGGAAGATGCTCCAACCACGCCACACTGGCCAGGGCGCCTTCTGTCTTATTTTGCCTGGGCTCTGACCTTGGTCTCACCTGATCTCAGAATCCTCCTTTTTGGAATACTGTCTCATGCCCAACTTGCAAATACCTTTCATAGTTGCTCCCTAGTTCATCACCCTCTTTTAATTTCTCTTTTAAAGCTGTTCCTAGTTCTTAGGTTTTCTTAATGCTTAAGCAGATTTTTTACCTCAGTCTTCCCAAAAATATTTGGACATGAAAGAAGTTATGATTTGGATTTATTAAGAACAGTTACTATTAAGCCCTGGCTGGCGTAGCTCAGTGGATTGAGCTTGG